TATTAATAATAATGATTATAAAAATGATAATAATAATAGTAAGGATTGTAGTAATAATAATAAGAATAATAATAATAGTAATGATAATAATAATAATAATAATAATAATAATAATAATAATAATAATAAATAATAATAATAATAATAATAATAATAATAAATAATAATAATAATAGTAATAATAATAATAATAATAATAATATTAATAATGTATATCATTTCTATAGCGCCCACTCCCATGTGAACACAGCTCTAGGCGCTTTACATAAATGCATGTACGAACAATATGTGAGGCTGCGTGGTGAAATCAGGCGCTTGTCAAAATAATTATATTGAATAAACAGGCGATTTGCTGCCGGTTTGACTACTTTTTATATTCTCTTTTATATTAGATTTTTCTGTTTCTGATTAAATATTTCACCGTTTTCTTATAAAATATTTTTCTAATTCTGACCTTTGATTTCTCTTTTTCTGACCAAAGATTTCTCTGTTTCTGTTTATGACCAAATATTTCTCTACTTTCAAAACATTTATCTAATTCTGTAAAAAGATATTATATCTAATTTTGACCACAGATTTCTCTATCATTCTGACTAAAAATCACTCTGTTTTTGATCAAACTTTCTGTCTTTTTTCTGACAAACTGTTTTTAGTTTTTCCGACCCAAGATATCTGTTTCTAATCAAAGATTTCTCTGTTCTTGACCGAAGTTTTCTGTGTTTCTGATCATCGATTTTTCTGTTTTAACCAAAGATATCTCTGTTTTCTGATCAAAGATCTATCTAATTCTGACAAAAGATTACTCTGTTTCTGATCAAAGATTTCTCTGTTTCTAACTTCAGATCTGTGTGTATTCTGACAAAAGATTTCTCTGTGTCTGATCAAAGATTTCTCTGCTTCTAACCTCAGACCTGTGTGTATTCTGACAAAAGATTACTCTGTTTCTAACCTCATACCTGTGTGTATTCTGACAAAAGATTACTCTGCTTCTAACCTCAGATCTGTGTGTATTCTGACAAAAGATTTCTTTGTTTCTAACCTCACACCTGTGTGTATTCTGACAAAAGATTACTCTGCTTCTAACCTCAGACCTGTGTGTATTCTGACAAAAGATTACTCTGCTTCTAACCTCAGACCTGTGTGTATTCTGACAAAAGATTACTCTGCTTCTAACCTCAGACCTGTGTGTATTCTGACAAAAGATTACTCTGTTTCTAACCTCAGACCTGTGTGTATTCTGACAAAAGATTGCTCTGTTTCTAACCTCAGACCTGTGTGTATTCTGACAAAAGATTACTCTGTGTCTGATCAAAGACTCCACGGTCTTCTAACAAAACATTTCTCTAATTCTGAAAAAAGATATTATATCTAATTCTGACCACAGATTTCTCTATCATTCTGACTAAAATTCACTCTGTTTCTGATCAAAGATTTCACTGTTTTCTGACAAAAGATTTCCCTGTTTTTGATCAAAGATTTCTCTTTTTCTGACCAAATATATATATCTAATTCTGAACAAAGGTATCTCTTCTTCTTCTTCTTCTTCTCTCCCATGGGTGGGACAACCGTTGGGGCACCACTGCATTGGAAAACCAGCTCTCGCCATCTATTTTTGTCCTCTGCTTTCTTCAGATTGTCCCCCATCGTCTTTCCTGTCCACTCTTTAATGTTTTCCTCCCATCTCCTTGTCTGCCTTCCTCTCTTTCTCTTTCCTTGTACGGTTCCTTGCAGGATTGTTTTGACAAGTCCTGTGGATCTTGTGACATGCCCATACCATTTTAATTTTCGTCTTTTCACTGTGGTCAGTAGATCTTCATATTGTCCCACTGCGTTGGTGATTTTCTTTCGTACTTCGGCATTTGAAACGTGGTCTTTGTACGAGATGTCAAGGAGTCTGCGGTAACATCTCATCTCTGTGATCTGAATCTTTTTCTCTAATTCTGCTGTTAGTGTCCACGACTCGCAGGCGTTTAAAAATATATGAGATGACCAGTGAGTGCATTAGTCTAATTTTTGAGCTGTGCGTGATGTTTCTGTCCCATGGTATCTCTACTTCTGACTAAAGATTATTCTGTTTCTGAATCAAAGATTTCACGGTTTTCTGACAAAAAAATCTCTCTCTTTGCTTGCCAAACATTTCTTTCCTTCTGTCTCTGCCCCAACCCCCTCCCAGCATGCGTGACCCCCATCAGCTGATCTCCCCCTGCGGCACCGCCCTCGTTCTGATCGGCCTGCTGTACTACATCGTTGCCATGACAACGCCAGCCTGGTCGATCCAGGGAGAGGACGCTGGCTACGGGGTGTTTGTCCGCTGTGACGTCATGGGGTGTAGGCGTGCGGGCGATGAGGGCATATCAGGTGAGTGCACCTTTTTGAAAAAGTCTCCTAGCTGCACCCGGATTACACTCCTTTAGGTTTAGTTAGAGTTTTACGGCACTTGCAACGCAATAAGGTCATATAAGTGCCGAAGATTAGAATTAGTGTTACAAGA